CTCCGCACAGCCATTGAAGAGGAGTGGACCAACATTCCACAGGCCACAATCAACAACCTGATCAACTCTATGCGAAGGAGATGTGTTGCACTGCGTGAGGCAAATGGTGGTCACACCAGATACTGACTGGTTTTCACAACTTCACAAATGAAGTTGTTTTTACTAAAATATTAAAACTATTAAAAATAATTTTTTTAACTGAAATAAAGCTAAAATAAAATAAATATTAGATGCAAATTTTAACTTTAAAAAAGTAAACAAAAATTGACATAAGTGACAAGTTAAAGTTGAAGTAATTACTAAAACTAAAACTGAAATAAAGCTGAAATAAATTAAATCTAAGTAAAATTATTTTAAAAAACAAAACAAAAATACAACAAAAGCACAAAAAAAATTCCTAAAACTTAACCTAAAATTAAAATGAAAACTGAAAAAATAAAAGTAAAAGCTAATTAAATATTATCAATAAAAACTATAATAGTAGACAAGAAACATACAAAGAAGTGTTCAGGAAAAAAATAATAAGCTCTCACGGTAATTAGAATTCAAAATTGTGTGTTGTGCAAGTGATTAAAAGCACCTGACATTCTGACAGAATATATTGGAAGTCTATGCGGGGCAAGCCATTCCAAAGGGCTTAAAGCAGAAATGTGCTGCTCGTGTTTTTGTTAAAGTGTTTACATAAATTTTTCTGTGGAAAAAATGTGTGTACGTTAGCTTAAAATATCTTTTAGCGGTCTATATACTGTTTGGGGCGGATTAATGTCTGAATATGAGTTACAGATATAATTCCTGTGGTTTATGTCAACATAAACAATAGATTTATAGCATCATTGTACATATGCACGAGTTACTTACCACGTTAGCTGCCTTTACAACGTCAAGACAGGAGTTCAAAATTAGACTTAACTTTGCACAGACAAGGTTTATAAATTATATAATCATGCTAGTCTCTTGTAAAAATGTAGAACTTTAACCTCTGTCCAATGCATTCCTCCATAGACTTCCATTGTAAGTGGATCCCTAGAAACAAGATTTGTGATTGTTTTTACAAACTGAACTATATGAATCAAAAATATTTGCCTTTAACTTAGATAATCAATAATATCCTTTGTTTTTGCATAGGCAGGCAGGATGAGGCAGCTGACTGTGCCTGATTTTTTGACAACATACAATTACTGTTTATCATCAAATTCCATCATGTTCTGATGTTAAAGAGATCTGATGTCAAGGAGCTTCTGGTTTGTGTTGCGCTGTCTCTCTTCGTGTCTCAGTCTAATGGGGTTTTGAATTATAATTTTAAAGAGTTAGCTTGGCCTGGGAAACACAAAATCAGGTATTTATAGTGGGAAAAGTGGGCTGATTTTGTAGTTTATATTGCAGGGGGAAACAGAGAAGATTTAAGTAAATATTTGGTCCTGTTTGGGTTTCTGTGCGCAGTTCAGAGTCCAGAGACATTACTGCTTCCTATTTAGTTTCACTGAAGACAAAGCATACTGTAGTCAATCGTGAGGGTAAAAATCCTGCTACAACATGTGTTTGGTTTTGATCACGTGGTCTGCACGTTTTTTTAATTTTTTTGTGTGTGTATTAATATTTTGAAAATAAATAGATTTGCCTCTAGTTAAATGTTTTGTTTAGTGTCATTATTAATAATGTACATCTGTACTCATTTCCACACACCTCTGCTTGTGCAGGTGTTATGCTCTTTTTGTAATTTCTCCTCTGTAATATCCATAATCCTTTAAGTCATGCTGTTGTTGGTAAAGATCAAGTAGATCAGCTTTTCTGTAATACCCAAAACAGCTTTTATTTTTATGTTACCCCTAACCTGCTTAAAGATGCCTATCAACTGTCTACCATAAGATTAAATGCTGTGTTTATGTGTGACCTGAATTCCTGTGTGTTTGTATCATCCCCGATGAGCTGGATAAAAGCAGGTCTTTTGAAATGTCTTTGAAAAACATGCAGTCTTTGGTCCACATTTTATTATTTATTTTCAAATTAATAAATAATATAAAGGCATATCAATAATAATAATAAAAGATTTTGACAGCAACAATAATGTGTGAACAGAAATGTCTTTAAAAAAAACAAGGCTTCGGTCCAGATATATCAACAATATGAGTTTTTTTATATATATAACCAGAAATAGTAATAATAATTAGATTTTTACATTTTCTGAATAGAATTATAATTGCTTGTGCAAATCCTATGTGTTGTGGATTATTGTTATGCAGCTGACCTAAGTATGAACAATAGTATGGTGATACTATTTTATTAATAGTTGCTATTTTGGTTTTAGCATTAACAACTAAACTAATCCTACAACACTTTGTACACACAATATCTCTTTTTAACATGATAAGAGCTTTCTTAAAACCTCTGCAGTGTTCAGAATAGAAAGACTTTATAGAAACATCTTTAGATGCTATGAAGGTTTTTTTTTTTTTACTCTAATTCTGTCAGCAACCCTTTTATAGCACTTGCGCAGTTTATTACAGAAAGTATTTGCTGTTTGGCAGTTTGCACAGAAATTTTAATTTGCTGAATATTTCAAATACTAATCCGAATACAAATGCACCAGACAGAAAGGTCAGCACCACATACGAATTCCCTATTGAATGTGGTGGGCATCATCATCAAAGAGGCTTTCCTGTTGAAAAGATATATTGTTCATGACCACTGTATGATCTGTCTTACAGACACCATCTTTAGAAGTGCTCAGAGAAAATCATCTGAAATATTTTATCTGGAAAAGCCTATAGCAGCTACGGGTGAGAAACTCGCCAAATAAGAGTGATCTCGCCAAATACATAAAGTACTGTGTAAAAGTCTTGGGCCATTAGTATTTTCACCAACAAAAAACAATGAAAAATGGTTTTAAGCCAGTAATTTCTATCTTTTGCTGTAGTGTGTCAGTAGGATATATCAGTTTACATTTCCAAACATTCCTTTTGCCATTAATTGTAATGGCCGGCTGGAAACGGTTTGTAATCATATACCATGTTGAATCATGCCCAAATGCAACTGGAGCCACGCTTAAAATATTCTAGTGTTTAAAAAATGCTCCAGTGACATGTTATAAAGCTGTTTATGCTTCTGTTTGAAACTCCAAACTGTCACCAGATCAGTTTCTTCTGCTACAATCGTGCATTCACCAATGAACCTTCAGCTTTGTGAAAAGTGTATGTGTATGAGATGACACAGCATGCTGATACAAACTGGTGCTGCTCTCTCCTCCAGTGGTTCCATTCTGAGGACGAACAGTGAAACAGCATTGTTTTCTCTCAAACAATCAAGACTTTTAGAGCCTACAACAGTTTACTCATACAAAGATTAACGTTACGTTGCTTTTAAAAACAGCACAGTGCAGAACACTTCTTATGTGTTGGTCAGTGCTTGAGTATCCCAGCAGTCCACAGCAATGTGAAGGCAAAGCCATGTCCTTACTGCCACCGTGACACTGTTGATTTGGCAAAACAAGAGCAGGACAAAATCCCGATGGGGTAAAAAACCAGACCCAGGCATAGGAAACTCTAAGGAAACCCCTTCCTTTCCCAGCATTTCCTCCTTTTCTGTTCCACAGTGCTTTTAGATCAAATCAGACCTGCTCAAGTCCAAAAACTTTGGTGTAAACAATCTGACCAGAAAGGTTTTGATTAACAGACACATCATCTTTTTGCTGAGAATGATATTTCAGAAACAGCATAACGCAACTTTGAATGCCTCTGAGCTGCAGGCTGTACTGTAGCCGGGCAGAGCAAGCGGC